AATGAAAAATATATATATATATAAATAAGCAAAAGTCAAAAGAAAAAAAAAGGACATTTTCTTAAACTATATAAATAAGTTATTGGTGTTTCAAAATTTCTTCATAAAGATAAATGTACCTTTGAATACTTAAAAGGACCACTTTACAAATTAGGATTTAGGTCTATTTTTAATTTAATTTCTTCGTTGGCCTGTTCTGCTAGCCATCCACACATTTGTCATTTGACGTAGCCACTAGAAAGAACAGGACAAACTGTGAAGTATGGATCAATGGGGTAGTTCTAATAATTATCATCAAGCGTACGAATACTAGACGAACTTCTTAATTTCTATTAGTATGGCTGGTAGAATTTTAATGTTCCGTATTCAATTTTGTAGATTTATTGGTTGCTCCCATACGTAACTTCAATCTTGTCACTTTGTGAACATGTTCCTTCAAATGATTGTTGTAACTTTAATATTACTTTCTGATGTTGGAATATGTAAATGTCACCGGCAAATTAATTGTGTCAAAAGGGTTTATGGATTTTGGAGGACAAGCAATAAAGCTCTTTAGACTCTAGTCATATTTTACTGGATGAAATTTCTTATTCTTTTAATAAATTTTATTAATATAGTTATTATTATTATTATTATTATTATTATTATTATTTTATAAAATAAAAGGTTAAAAAATTAAGAATGAGATTTTAATCCTTGATTCTTTTTTACTTTTTTATTTTACATAGGAAGATCTCTTACGATATTGTGGAGTTGTTTGCGGAAGCCGGAAGAATTCTGCGAGCATTAAAGCAGATAAGTTTCAGTAACTTACAGTTTTTTTTTTATGAATTTTTTTTATTTTTTATAATACTTTTTTACAGTTCATTTGTTTTTTTTTACTTATGCTCTCAATTTTTTCTTATTTATAAAAAAGTGTTGGGTTATAATATTGCTGATCACTTAGAGTTTACACATAAAAATGTGTTTAGTTACATCAAACTCTAATAAAGGTGAGTTTAGTTACACATAGATATGTAGAACTTTACAAATGATGAAGAAAGAAAGAAGTTTGATTTTAAAGGTTCCAAAGGTCTCCAGCCGCCACACAACCTCCAAGAATGATTCTCGTTGTTTCTTTTCTCAAAAATTTCACTTTTAGGTCATAAAAGCTTTTTTCTTATGTGAATAATGACATGTCAGCACAATCCACGCTAAGCTTGAGATGCCACGCTAAGTTTAAGGAGAGGTCTGGAGTGAAATGTGTTTCTAGGACTCCCACGTCCCAATTCCATGCTCAACGTGAGGATTAAATTTTTGTTCCAGTGATTCTCTGCCAAGTTGAGGCTAAGCGTGGATCTGAGACTTAGCTTGCGGACTTAACCAAAAATTCCTTCAACTTTGAATTCACCACTTTGTATTTGATTTCCTTCCTTTTTTCCTAGCTTTCTCCTAAACTACAAAAACAACAATCAAATACTTGTAAATTACTTAAAAACATGATTCAAAAACAAAATTTGATCACCTAACAATTTAAATATATTTTAAATTAAAAACAAAGTCTAAAACAAGAAAAATTGATATAAATACTTTAAATTAAATCATAAACTTAATAAAATCATAGCACTAATCAACTACAATTATCATTTATTAACTAACATTATACAATGGTGTGAACAAGGAACTCTGATGCGGCAGAGTGAAATATCAAATAAGGTGAAAAAAATAGGTTACTTACAGTGCAGGGAAGGTTCTGTCACTAAATCCTAGTCTGAGTTCGGTGGTAACAGTTGGCTGCATTTGATGCAGGTGCCAGTGGAGCACCAATTAAAATGCCAGTATCTCAAACAATGTAAAAAAAAAATTCAAAATAAAAATTATTATATATACTGACAAGAAATAAACACTCTTTTGTTAAGAAAAAAAAAGTCTTACAGTTACTACTAACGGATGTAGTGGATAATTACTTTTTTTTTTATGTATTTTTTTATTTAATTATTAAGAGATATATTAATGGAGGAAAATTAAAGTATAAAGTAGAAGTATAAATATCTTTTTAAAAAAAATAAAGAGTTTATAGATATATATTGTGAGAGATATGACGAGGAAAATTTCAATTTGGAACGTGGGTGGTGGGTGTCACAGATTGGAAATACAGTTGGTTAGGTGATATACTGATATGTCATCCAAACAATAATAACATTTCTAATTATAAAAAACTTATGAAATTGACATGTGCCCAACATGTTTAAAATTTTATAAAATACATAATTATTTTTACTCCTTCTTCCGTAATTAAAATATATTTAAACTTAACTTATTTAAATTAAAATAAAATTCAATAATATTTGGAAAAAAATTTGTGTCAACTCAATTTATTAAAATAACAATATATGGATCTTGATCTTAATATTATATATAATTGATACGGAATATAATAAAAAATAAAAAATAAATTATGAGGATATCAAATATAATTTAAATTTGTTGTCGAAACACATCATGTTTTATTAGAACTTATCCTCATAAAATAATAAATTGTCTTAATTAAACACACTATGTAGTAGTACAATATTAATCTCTTAAATTTCAGTTGAATGAATTGAGTTTGATTCCACATGTATGATGTATCATAGCTATGAGGTTATATCGAAATGTTAAAAATAATATTTAAACTTCTCATCTTAATTTGATCACCAACAAGTAACTACTAAATTAACAGGTTTCTTAAATATATATAAAAAATACAAGTATAAGAATGAATTTTCTGATGAGATGGCTAAAGTGTTGAACTTCAAGTTAAGGGTATCACACCTTCTCGGGTGGAGATCTTACCACACTTTTGGTTCTCTTTTCTTCCTAAATAAACATCTGTGAGTGGAAATCAGGATTCCATGTAGACAGCTTCCAAAGCTTTCAATCTTGTCTTTTATTTTACTATAGCAGTCCCTACCCAAGAGGTTTTTGAAGTGCTTGTTTTGGACAATTAATTAAGAATATCTTGTGGTCGATGAACACAAAAGCATGCATCAGCTGGGAACCCTGTTTATGACCAACAAAACATTGTACAATAATAGTGAATAGCCATATGCCATTAGCATGCTGCGTTTTAATTGACACGTGTTGAATATCTGTATTGTTTTACTCCTTTTGTACTGAAATTTTGTTTATTGAAGAAAATAAATGTCATTCTAAGGGATTCAGATTCAAGTACCAATTAGAACTTATTTTTATTTGAAGTAACCCATCATAAAGTAAGATGAAATTTCCAGCAATTACAGTAAACGAATTAATCAATTACCAAAACAATAGAATCACGAGAAATTTTAGAGCACGATTGTAATCAAATAACCTTCACCCTGCACGTAACTTTCAATTTCATTCTAATTGAAGTTTTAGCGTTATGGTTGAATATATCAAATTAATGACTACCAAAAAAATAAAATTCAAACAATTATTGTAATCGAAGTTTATTTCTTTAACCACTATATAATTAATTTTTTTTAGGTTTTCTAACACTAATGAAATTTTCTGTGTTCCGAATCGATCAAACTTTGACTCGTTCAAATCAATTCTTCAATTAACAACACTTTTTCTTAAATGAAAATTCTAAGTGTCTATTTGATTTGCAGTTGAAACTAATGTTCAGCAGAATAGTTCAACTTGCAAACTCATGTAGAACAGAAAAGACCCAAACTTTTGCTTCTTATTTTGGTGCTTTAGAAAATATGAATTCACTTGTATCACTGTAATTCTATAAAGATTCCTGATTAAAATAAGCACTAAATTAAAAAATTCTTAAAATTTCACAATTGTTGATGTCCATCCCCAAAGTATCCTCAATCTTGACACTTTATTCTAAATCTAATCCTTATTCTAACCTCCCAATAATCTGTAGGAATCTAAGATCAACTATAAGTATGTAGCTTATAAAGGCATAAAAATTAAAATCAAAGAGAAACAATCAAATTAAAAGAAATTAACTTTCTTTTATTTTCTCGTTAATAAAAGAATCAAAGGCAAAATAAAAAATATAAATTATCAGACGTAGATCCAACAATTTTTTAATAAACAATTGATATGTAAAGTATCACTACAAGACAAAAGCATCTCAACAATATTAATACCTCAAAACTTACCATTTATTTACAGCATATTAAAACATGAAATCACAAAGAGAAAACAACAGAGCATGGAAAGATTAGACTAAACCCATGAAAAAAAATTAACAAAACTTATAAAAAATAAACTATAACGAGTACAGAAAAAATTATACTCTAGTCCCACCAAATAAATTAAAGAGTAAAACCGTAAAAGTATACAAACTCTAGCTCTCAGGATAAAACTAAACAGACCAAATCACTCTCCTGTACTGGAAGATTGGGGTTAGGCCCGCTCTCAAATTATCAACATGGTATCAAAGTCCATATATGGTGTCATAACCTATATATGAAGATCCAAGGGACCATAAAAAAAATCTATTAATTACTACACATCGAGTAAAAGAAGCACAAGCCCTTGACAAAGAGCCTATGAGACTCAAATTAAAAGTCAAAACTTGAGTACAAGCACTACAAAAAATGTTCCATATAGTGACATACAAAAAGTGTCACTATAGGTATAATATATGTAGGTATATACCTATTTGACATATAGCTACATACAATTTTAGTGTTGATTTTGAATGAAATTTAACAACATATTTTGTGTGTCACTATAACCTATACCTACATTCTTTAACAATATACCAACATATATTATATTTATTGTGTAGGTAAAAGTAGTTTTTAGTGACACGTATTATGTCACTATAGGGTGTGTGTCACTATACGGCAATTTTCTTGTAGTGAAGCTCAAACTAATTTAAAGATTCTAGGCAAAGTCACAACTAGATTATACAACTAACAGAAGTAAACCGTATATATTGTTGGAAGTTGACAAAGGTGCAATTTGACAAAGTTGCCAAATTTCTTCGCAACATAAAGTTAATTTTATTTGGTATATAATTTTTTTTATTATTGTTATGCCTAAAACTTGGTTAAAATTGTTAAATAAAAGTTGATGAATATGTTTCAAAATTAACCATTGAGTTACAATAAAAAGAAACAATATTTCAGAAAAACTTATTTAAATTAAAATGTAATTAATGTAACATATTATTTTTATAAAAAAGAATCTAGTTTTTTAAAATTAAATAAAATGACAGTGTAATTTACATATGTTTAAGAGCAATAAATATAATTAATATTTTAGTATATGTAATATACGTGTTAAATATTTATTATATATAAATAAAATTTGTAATAAGCTATACATTTAAATAAATACTATATTTTAATGTATAAGTTATATTAATTTAAAATTTATATAAAAATATTTTTAAATATATAAATTATATTTTATATTAGTGAAAAACAATTTATGTTTTGGCACAAGATTATTTTTAATTATTGATAATTTATTTTAAAATTATTGAATTTAATTTAGAAATATATGCAAATACAAATTAAAACAAACAAAATAAAAAACTCTAAAAACCTTCTCACTGAAAACAAATGTCTGAAAAGTCTCTTCTTAATGAGAAATTTCATCCCAGGGGTGAATTTATTTTTTATTTAAATAACGGTGACTGAATTAAAGAAAAATAGATAATCGTAGCATTAGTTACAACTTAATACAAACAACATATGACAATCCTATATATAGCTACCACGCCTAAAATGAAATTGGCATGAAAGCTCCGTGAAATCCATATGGAACTCTGCAAGGCATGGTTATTTTGGCAACTGCTTCTCCAGAAAACTTCTTTGTGTCAATTATATGAACCTAGAACAAATTAAAACAATTAAGGAAGTAACTCATTGGATCAATTTACTTGTACATGCCAAATATAATTGACCTACTTGAGATATGCCAGTATCCTCATTGTGAATATAAGTAATTATCCAACCATCATCTTCTTCAAGGCCACCTTCCTTGGGGACAAAGGCAGATCCACTGCAAAATACATTACTTTCAAATTTGTGGTATTCCACCCTTATAGGCTCTTCTTCTTGTGTATCTCCCTGATTAACACATTTGAATTTTAATACTTGTAAGGAAAAAATAAATAGCATAATATATGTATCAACTTTTATTTCATGCCATTGCCATATGAATTTTACCGCTGGGACTTCTGAACAAGTTTCTTCAAAGTATAGCTTCGCTAAAGCTCCATATTTAGGAATATCTAAATGGTTAAACACGAAGGATATTATGAATTATGAATCCAATTAAGGGTACTTTTTGTTGTAATAGTTGAATAGTTAAACCGAGTTTTAAAGAATTACCTGCAGCATAACTTGCAGTGGGATCAACCACTTGGGTGTATCCGTATCTATTCTTAATTCCTGTAAAACTTGCATTAATTACTGGGAAATCCATAAACTGTTCTGGTTCAGTGAGATATTTCTCCTTAACCTCCCCGCTTTTCATGTTTAATCGCCACTCATAACACCGAGAGAACAACTTAGATTCATTTAAACCACCCTCAGGTCCTGGAATTATTGAATCTAGTGCTCTACAGCCCCACAACACAACCTGGTACAGCATAGAAATTTTCTCAATTATGCAGCTAATTGCCCACTCAGAGTATCTCAAAGTTTTAGTTAATTAATTTCAAATATTAATATTTTTTATTGAAAGTTATACCTCATGACCTTCCTCAAAAGAATTGATGATGTGAAATGTGGTATTAGGTTCCACCTCAAACCACTGGATTGAGTTTGCATCACCATAGAGAGGCATTATCCCAATCCTGGAATATTTCTCCTTGTCGTACTTGATTAATCTATATATATGCAATAACATGGAAAAGTTAATTCATCCACAAAGATTTTGTGAGGTCTTATCATAGTCTATTGTGTGTACTCAATATACTCACGGGCCTCTTCTAAATAGCCTGTTTGAATCTACAATCAGTGGAAAGTCCAATATTGCTATATACCTGCTACCAAAACCATAGATGCATTAATTTCAACACGTCAATTCTCATTCTAGAGTCTAGACTATATAGCCTGGCTTATAATTTCATCTTGGGGTTTCAATTTCATAATAAATATTATTATACCTGCTTGTTATACCTATATCATGACATAAAGAGCATCTCTCTAGTTTTATGTCTTCTTTACGAATCAATTCCTTTCCATCAGCTGAAAATGGAATCAAGGGCATGTAATCGAAATTATACATCAGAATAACAATTTTATCAGGATTCAGGATCAATCAATACTATATAATATTTCTTGAATATTTTTAGGAATTTAAAGCATATATACATACCAGAAACTATTCCAATCTCAAGATAAGGTTTAGTTGCATCTACCCCAAAAATAACCAGCTCTCCTGTATCAGGAACTTTCTGTATGTATTATAACCATATAATTTTTTTTAATTAATTAATCCCATAAATATAATAAGAGTGTGAGAAGATAGAGAAAATCTTGATCATCATTAAACTTCAGTAAACTAATTTTGACCATTAAATATATAGTTGTATGACTAAGATCAAGTTTTTTTCATGCTCTCACTAGAGATACGACGGACACATAAAAGAAACCTTGGGGTGACTGGTGAAAGGGCGATTCCATGCTCCATTGACATCCCAATATTTTAAAGTATCTAGCGTGAATACATCAATCTCTTGTGGCATGTGATTCTCGGAAACCGAGTAGAACTTGCCCGAATGCTCAAATACATTGGTGTTGCTATAATCTTTATTTAGTTTTCCAAATCTCAGCTGTCAAATCCACAATGCAAGGAGAAATTAAAATTCGAAACTCGGCTAACCATAATAATAATAGTAATAATTAGTGATTATAATAAGGTTATCTGGCTGACCCCGTTTAGAAGCATTGAACACAAAACGGCCAATGAGTCTCCTTTTACAGCAGGGAGAAACAAAGGCTTGGTGCTTTGTTTCTCGAGCTTGTATGTTTCAGTTTCAACATATCTCTTGTTGTAGACGATAGTGCAGCAACCCTCATTTTGCCTTTTGAAATACAAACCATGAAGCATTCCTTCTCCTTCCACCCAAACGCTATTTGTCCTCCCAAACATAGACTTGCATGATTTCAATCCTCCAAACCGTGGGTTTGAACCTATGGTATAGCAATACAAAGATTATATAAATAAATTATTTATTTACTTTTTTCTGTTATTCTTTCTCTCTCGCTCCTTAGATTTTTCCTTTCTTTTTTTAGAAAATAATTTAGACAAGGAAAAGATATTTTATGTAACTTCAGTCTTCAGAGTTAACTGTTAACCTTTTCTAAGATTTTTAATACAATTAAGAATGTCTATTTTATCTTCCACACGAATTCACATAAAAGTATATAAAAAAAAAATTAGATTTCATCACAAACCTTAATTAACAAGAACGAAGGAATTTTGAGGAAAAAAAAAAAGATGTATATGTCCTTTCGAGTTCTGTGTAAACTTTTGTTAGAAAAAGAAAAAAGAAAATCAACCCAACTTTATAGTTGGAATTCATTCATTCATAGATTTATATCCATATATGTTTGACGGAGAATACCGATTGATAATGAAAAAAAAAAAAATATATATATATACGTATATACTCAAACATTAACATTAATTATCCATGCGTATTACGTGACCTGAATCTGCCGTTGTAAAAGTATGTGGACTAATAAAACACAGTAATTTTAAGAATCAATTTCCCAAGTTTTATTATATTAAAAAAAGTGCAGACGGAGAAGCAGAAGAGCAAAATGAAAGGAAAAGTGTCATAAAAAATGAGGACTAGTGTGAAAGAATAATTTTTGTATTTTCAGTTGATGGCCATCTTAAGCACGTGCATCATCTCTCAGATCTAGAGTTATAAAAATGATAGTAGGGACCATTTCTAATGTAGACTCCCTCTGGAAAGTGATCTGGTATGTGACCTTCAATGTTAGTGATAGACATGGCTTCCTCTAACTCCTCCACCGGAGCAAAGTTACTCTGCAAGCAAAATAACTATATATTAATTAATAAATATTAAAAATGATGGCTAGCTAGGAGATTAATAATCTGCAAAACACTTTAATTAGCACCTGAGATGGAAGCACTAGCTGGTCAACAAACTCAAAAGCTGAGTCCACAACAGCGTTAAGAAACTTAGTTTTAATGTGTGTCAAGGTTTTGGAAGCATCAATTTGCAGCGGAATTTGAGGTATCGCTCTTAAGATCGGCTTCAGGAAGTGAACAACAATTAAGGAGTGTGTATATATGTTTATGGTTATGCAAGTGAACGTTAGGTTTTAAAGTTAAAATTAATTACCTTGAAGGCCGAGGAAAGTCCCAGAGTAGTGGGTTGGCGTGGGACGATTAAGGGTCGTTTCTGAACGGAGCAATATTTAGGGGCAACATTCATGCATGACCAAGTTGCCATATGCGTTTCGTTTCGATGCAATGCAACGCAACACACTACCAGCTTCATAATAAATACTAAACATTTTATATTAACTATATAAAATGCGTTAAATATGTTTTTAAGTTTACGTCAAACCAACCCAAGCGTTGATCCACGTTTAAGCAAGGTCAGGGGTTCGAATTCAGGCTTATGTATGCAGTCGCGTTAAATCTTGGGATCAGCTATCCTACCTTTTAAGGTGCCTTCAACTTAACAAAGAGATTAATCACTGCTATGAGCGGTGATACTCTAAGGACGAAAAAAAAATAAATTTACGTCAAACTAGCGAATTTTTATTTTATTTTTATCAAATATTTCCTTTGTTATTTATTTTTTTTAGAGTTCGTAAACATTGTTTTTTATCTATGTAAAATGAGTAAAATAATTAGTTTTGATCCATTAAAATACTTTTAATTTCCATTTTTCTAAAATATGAGGTCACTATTTTGTTTTAATCTCTAACACTTGTTTTTAAGATATATAACTAACATTTGTTTTAAGGATCAATATAATTTTTTAAAGATGTCATGTGCTCATAAAATATTACATTTGGGTACTATCTAAAATGGTCACTTGATTTTTAATAAACACACAAGTAATTAAAAAGGATCACATGAACAAATTTGAAAATTCAAAATTAAACCTTTCTTATTTTGCTAAGTTTTAAAACATTATTAAATCTTAAAAAAATCACTAGTCATTAAATATCCACACATTATTGTGTATAAAAAAAAATATGTGATTAGAAGAAATTTTTTATATTAAATATAGTCAGTTAGATTCTCAAATACAAATAGTTATCACAAAGTTGATGGATATTTCATACTAATAATATGATTACCAAAATATTCCCACATTATAAAACTCAATATTTAATTAAAAAATAACAATAATAATATTATTTAAATTTTTTCTCGTAAATTTCTTAATATCAAATTTTCATTCTTAGTATATATATATAT